AAAGAAGGAAAGAAAAAAAAAGAGAGGCACCAGGAAGAAGAGGAGAGCGCGAGAGAGAGAGAGAGAGAGAGAGAGCGAGAGCAGAGAGCAAGAGAGAGGAGCGAGAGAGGAGCGAGAGAGAGGAGGAGGGGGGGGGGGGTAGGGGTATGAATCTGAACACCTCAGAGGTTGGGACAGTTGGGTGGAACGCGGGGACCACCCGGGGCGTGTCTGGCCTCTTGCCCCACAGGAGCCACCCTCGCTTCTGGGGAGCTCCGGCCATGAGACGGGCAGGGCGGCTGGTAAATAAGGGAGTGTTCCTCCCTCGTGTCAGCCATGGGCCCGGGCGGCGCGATACCTTTCGAGGGCGTCGGAGGCTTGCAGGGCGTGAGGTTTCCGCCTCGTTGCCCCAACCGTGCGCGAAGCCATGCCAAGAGTTACGCAAACAAAGCCGACAGATTAACTGCCATTCACTTTCTCTACTCTTCTTCTCTCTCTCTTTCTCTCTCTCACTTTCTCTCTCTTTTGCTTCTCTCACATGTTTTTTTTTTCTTTTTTTTTTTTTTTATCTTTCTTTTTTCTTTTCTTTATTCTTTTTTTATTATCTTCATTCTCTCTTTTTATTTCTTTTTTTTCTCTTTCTCTCTTCTCTCTCTCTCTTTCTTCTTTCTCTCTCTCATTCTCTCTCTTCTCTTCTTCTTTTCTCTCTCTCTCTTTCTTCTCTCTGTTTTCTCTTTCTTTTTTTTTTTTTCTCACTCTTCTCTTTCTCACTTTCTATCTTTCATTCTCTACTCTTTCTCTTTTTCCTTCTCTCTTTTTTATTTCTTTATCTTCTTATATTTTTCTAATATCCTCATTCTCTATCTCTCTTCTTTTCTTCTCATATCTCTTTTAACTTTCCTCTTTTCTTTTTCTTCTCTTCTCTTTGTCTCTATTCTTTTTATTCTCTCTTTCTTTTTTTTTTTCTCCCTCTCTTCCTCTTCTCTCTTCTTCTTTTTTCCTTTCTTTTCTTCCTTCTTCATCCTCTCTTTTCTACCTCTTCTCTTCTCTCTTTTATCTCTCGTCTTAACCCACTCTCTTGTCTCTCTCCCTCTTCTCTTTCTCTTTCTTTTTTCTTCTTCTCTCTTTCTCTCTTCCCTTCTCTCTCTCTTTCCTCTCTCTCTCTTTTCTCACTTTTCCTCTCTTTCTCTCCCTCTCTTCTTAACTTCTTCTTTTTCTCTTTCTTCCTTTTTCCTTCTTGTCTTTCTCTTTTTCTGATCTCTTCTATTTTTCTCTCCCTTTTTTCTTTCTCTTCTTCACTCTCTCTCTTCTTCTCTCTTCTTATCTCTCTCTTCTCTTCTCTCATTCTTCTTCACTTCTATTCTCTTTCTCTCTCTCTTACCCTCTCGCCCTTCTTCCTTCTTTCGTCTCTCTCTCCCATTTGTCTCTCTCTTCTCCCTTCTTAGTCTCTCTTCTCTCCTCTTTTGTTCTCTCTTTCTCCCCTCTCCCTCTCTCCTCTCTCTCTCGTCTCTACCTCTCTTCCTCCTCTCTTCCTCTTCCCTTCTCTTCTATTCCTCTCTCTCTTTCTCCCAGCCCGTAGTTTTTTTTTCCTTCCCCTCTCAGCGTGTGCGTGGAGTGTGTATGTGGAGTGTTGTGTGGGGAGGTAGGTGTGCGATACGTGTGCGTGCCGTGCGGTGGTGAGCGTGCGTGCGTGTGTGCGTGTGTGTGTGTGTGTGTGTGTGTGTGTGTGTGTGTGTGTGTGTGTGTGTGTGTGTGTGTGTGTGTGTGTGTGTGCTATGTAGCAGCGCTCACCTGGAGACTGGACCAATCGGGTCGCTTTTCTAGCTCCTCCAGGAGTGCGGCTGGCACATCGCGTTTGCCCCAGGATCCCTGCGAGACATTAGTCTAAAACTATTCTTAATCGCGCTTATTCTGATTTACCACGCTCTTGCAGCATTCGGCACAAAGAATATCGTTGCCGCCCGGAGGAAACATGATTGTCAATAAAGCAAGGTCACATTGTGATAAAACATAAAAGACGTCAAGTCGCCATCATGGAATTAGCCCTTTACATGTGCAGCATTAGGGTAACTCCCAAATTCATTTGCCACTATGCGTTTCCGGTTTCTGCCCCCCCTGCAGGCACGACCTCATACACATACACACTCCGCAATAAATCTCAATATAATCATCTCTAGTATGTACGTCTGACAGTGGACCTTATCTATCTATAATATACATCAATACATGTTACACCTACACTCAACGACCCAAACTACGTCTTACTATCATAAAACTATACCACAAAATACTCATATATATATAAATCTATTATCTATATATATCTACCTCTACTATACAAAAAACTAATCCAGCTTCAATCTCTCCCTATACCTCTCTCTATATACAATATGCTTATCTCTTAATCCCTCATCCCTCTATATACACATTATTATACAAATACTATATGCATATCTATATTATCTATATATTATATAATACTATTATCTAACTATCTAACTACTCTATCTCAAATACACTC